TGGTCTTATGAACTTGCCTGATTCTGGATTCTGAAAAATGCATTATTTTAATGGAACTTAGCTCCATTTCAGGTGTAACATCTGATTAATTACAATAGTCGCGTACTAGCATAATGAATGCTTATTCTGGGGTGCAGTAGCTTAAATCTTCTTGGATCATCAATATTAGTAATAAAATGCATGCTACTCATAGGTGACGTTTTCAAGTGTTTCACAACAGCAACCCATCCTTTCTCTTTCATATACTATGGCTGAGAAGATGGTACCACCACCCTAATACGGCCCCTAGGCTGTGGCATTCCCCCTGTTGTATGACATGAAAAAAAGTGAGAAAACTCAGGACAGAAACATAGAAGGAAGCTCCTACCATATTAGAAGCCAAGTCAATCACTTATACCCAAGCTTACTCATGCTTCTCTGTGTATGCATTATATATATGTATATATTTGGGCTCCACGGGTGACAGGGAGCATGGTCAGCTACAGAAGAGACCAAGAACATGCACTCTGAATAGCAGAGACAAAACTTGTGTTATACCCAGGCAGATTTACATGAAGATAACTTGACTGAAAGCAGCAGTAATTTGCACTCTGTCCTCCACCCTAAAGGATTGGCTCTGGGTCTCTGTATAGAGGCCTTCTTTGAATAACTTCCAAATCTATTTGCCATTTGTCTCACAAAGTGTATATATAATGGATGGAAACTCAACTGGAATTTTCCACACAGGTTTCACTTGTGCAGGAAAAGATGTAGGTGTTTTACTAATAGGGAAAAAAACAAACAACCACCAACCCACAAAGCAACACAGGTATTCCAGAGGAAAAGAAACCTACTGAATAACTAGTGTATACTAGTGTAAAAGACAACACTCACTGCTAGCATGTAATATCTGCCTCAAAACAGTTCAATACTGTTCTAAACAAAACACAGAAAAAATTCCTTCCTCATGAAGGAATGGGAGTAGAAATACAAAAACAACTGAACTATCCTCCAGCATCTTTATATTAGTATACTGCATCAAAAAGTAACATCATATCTGGAAGCAAAAGACTGTAGAGACAAATCTACGCAGTGCATTCAATTTATCTCCAAGACTCTGTCTGATCCTAAAAAAGGCCAGCTTTACACAGAAAATACACATGCCCTAGTATATAAATTAAGTACAAGGACCATTCTCTAGCACTGAAGACAATCCTTCCAAAGCAGGGGGGCTCCATGTAACCTGCTCTCTAGGAATCACCCTGGCACGTGTTATTACCCGAACTGCACAGGAATTGATCAAGAGTGCTTGCTGGCATAGATCAAAGGCCACACTGGGGACCACATTAACATTTATCAGCAATCAAATGGCAGCACTCAAAGAATATTCCCTGGCAGTGTTCAGTTTACTAGGGTAGAATAGACAGGGCGCCACAAGCTTTTAGCCACTTCTATAAAACTTCAAATCTTATTTATTAGAATACACAAAAGAACTAATAGAACTAATATTTATTTGATTATAAAATGGGAGTACATCATTAGAAAGCTTTTATTTCAAAAGGCTTCCCTTCCTCTAACATAAATCCAAATTCGCTATGATATGACGACTAGACTAGAAATTTCCAAGTTTCTCTGAACTCTGCCTAATGATGTCCTTTGCTAGGTACGCTGAGAAGGAATCAGTGATAGAGACATTGCCTACTTCATTTAAGGTTGTATCTTATTAGCTGCTCAAGATAACACTGAAAAAACGCCAGATGATGCTCTGACTAGAGCATCATAAGCAAAACTTTTACCACATGACACAGCTGTGTAAAAATTAGTGTATGCTCTCTTCCATTAGGCAATGCAAATCAATCTTCCACAGTAGGATATATAAATGATTACTAGGAAATGGCTTTAACAATAAGTTATCTTATACCTCTGCACTTTGATCTCCACAAGCACAAAGCCAAATACCTTGGCTTTACTGCTCTCCAGTAGTGTTTCTTATAAACTACTGTGAATATTTATGTGAAATGTATCAAAATCCCACCTTGATAGTTGACAGAACGTTTCTCATTAATGTCAACAGAATAGGATTTTGTTCTCAAGGAAACTTTGCATGCTTCCTCTCAAATACATCTGCTTTCATGGCAGCATTACACCCTACTGAATGATTGCCTAACTTCTTCCACTTAAAGACTCAAGTTTCAAGCTGCTACATTTCAGTTTTTTAGGTTTAAGTTTTCCATGCAGGTATCTGCATCAAGCTGATTTCAAGTTTCAGCAAAGCTAAAGCAACTAGTTCTCAACAACAAAATCTGGGTGGAATGCATTGTCACATTCATTTAAAATATACGTACAACCACTTTGTTGAGAGGGTCTGTGCTTTCACTTTAGGTTTGGAAAAGGTCCTTGTACTACAACCGGAGTATTAAAAGCATGATTTTTACAGTATTAGCGAATATCTTTATTGACTAGAAAAAATTTAGTGAGAGAGGCACATTCATCATAACACGTTTGGTTAAATTTAGTTAATATAAAGACTCTGGCTGTAGTAATACTGCTTGAGGGGAATTTCCCTTTCATCCAGTTGCTTTGGGATTGCCGGTGCACCCACCAGGCCCTGCTACCAAGATAAGCTATGAACACATTTTCAACTGCTGCTCTGGAAGATTGGAAAAGTTTGCTCTTCCAGAGTGCAGGGGGCACAGGAGACTCATTGGGAACAGAAAAGGACGAGAAGCTTCATTCAGCCCTAACGACTAAGTAAAATACCATTGTGCAAAAAAAAAAAAAAAAAAAAAAAAAAATCAGTATCTGCTTACAGAATTAAAGACTTCATTGTAATATTTACACAACAGTATTACAATAAATATTGTAACTTTTAACACATTTGTTAAGACCATGTAAGCCACCTTAGATAACTCTCTGATCCAAATGATTTTTTTTTTTAATATAACAGTCTTTTTTTTTCTTTTGAGCCAGATTCTCCCAGTCTCCCCCACAGAGACTTTCCAGCTCTACTGTAACTGGAAGGACAGAAGGTAATGTCACCAGTCTTAGTCAGACTGAGCAAGTGATGTACTGTGACCATAGAGACTAAATTATGCAGTGTATCCACTGTTTTTTCCATCGCACAAGTCTGATGGGAGTATCTCTGCCTGAAAAGGCTTATTACAAAGTGTAGAAGTCATAGTCTAGGTCACTGAGGACTAGCTTCCTTCTACATTGCTGACAGTTTTAAGGACAAGATGGGCACAGCTGGGGACTCCTCCTCTGGCACTGCTCAGCACCAAAAGCCTAAACTTGCATCACCACATTTATATGAGAGGGGAAAGTGGAACTGGAAGCAGGAATTCCTCAATATGACCTGTGTCTTAAGAGACCCTCACATTAGCACAGACTGTGACCGGTCTACCCTTTGGTGATGGGGACATTGGGCATGCAATCACCCAGTGCCTCTGCTCTTTTTCATACGTAGTATTATCAAATCTTCCTACTGGGATCTGTTCAGCTAGAAAACCAAAAACAAACCCACAAAAACACTTTGCCAAAACCACCCCCCCCCAGACCACCCATTTTTATTTTTCACTTGTTTCACAAACTTTATCTTCTACTTCTGGGAAGTGCCATATGCTCTGCAGTAGTACACAGAACACTAACACCATACCCACTGTATCAGCATAGCTCACACAGTGCAGTTTCCTCTCCACCGAATTTAAAGATTTTTCAGCTAACGCAACACAGTATCAGAAGACTACAAAAGCAAAACGCAGTTAAGTGCCTGTCCTGCAGGAGAGAATACATTTGCAGAGACTAGACTGTGGTCCCCAGCCCCTAAGCAGTGGGACTGCTGCTCCACCTGCTGGACATCCAAAAATCTCACCCAGGGCAACGACCTCCCTGCAATTTGCAGCAATCCCAAGAGCTTGACTATTTTCATTTAAGCCAGTCAGATTTTTAGTATGATCTTTAATAAGAGCAGAAATAGGTCAGTACTGAAGGCTTTTGAACATACAACCTGTGGTAAAAATGCAGAATCAGACAAGTAAAAGCACACAGGGTTTGCAGTTTAGCGTCACACCCCTGACAGCTCTTCCTATGAAAGAACACTCACTTAACCAACTTGTTCCAAACATTCAAAACCATATCCATCCAGTCACCCATCCATCCCACAGGCCTGGCAGTCATGCCGTTGCACTCCTCCTTACCCTGCAAATACACTGCTAAATTCTAAGCTAGTTCTGCACCCCAAACCCAAGAACAGTCTAGAGCTGTTTCATTGCCCTCAATGCTTCCAGAAATCAATTGTAAATAATGCATTTTAAAGACTGGGATTAGCACTGGCAATGTGACTGTACTGCCAAGCAGCAAAATGGCTCAGAAATAAGTCAGACTTGCAACACTGTGCATAAAGACTCAATATCCTCTACAAACCATTAAGACTCTCAGCCTACTTAGGATTCTGCTTGTTATTCTAGGAAATGGCAGGAAAGTGAGCAACCTCTGCTTTCAAAGGAAGCTTGAGATCCTCAGTAGTAAAATGCTCAAAAAGCTTGCTCCATTTCCATCTCTGGCCTCTCTCTGGATTACTCACTTGCAAAAATACCAGAAGTTTGTGTATAAATATTTAACCTCAAGTTTTCAATGTTGACCTCATTTGATCTACCTAGACTTCTCTGTTGATCTTACATATTTGTTGCCAGTGAGGTCTTTTGGTTGGTTTTAGTTTAGTTCAAGATCCCTCCTTTACTCACATCTTCCACATCATGCAGGTTATAACAGACCATGGAGCCTGGGTTTGCACAAACCTAGCTTTTTAAAAGGGTAACCTAACCTAGTGTTATTAACTGCAAGGCCACAACACACAGAAGCATTCCAGTTTTAGGACTGCAAATGGCAGTGCCATTTGTGAGTCTCCATATAGGTTCTGTATCAGCAGAACTAGTGTTGCTCCAAGGATGCTATCATTCACTAAGCAAGTCATATCTGTTAATATTATAATCATCTCCCTAAGAGGCACACGCTTACAAAATTATAAATGCAGGCAAGAGCATATTTTATTTTTTCCTCCCATATGGGAATAAGCTTTTGCCATATAGGTATTTTTAATACTCCTCTTTGCTGAGCTTCAGAAATGAAATGAAAAGGCAGTCTAGTACTCTTCCCTCATCCTAATGACGTTTCTGTTACTGACTGACGGTGCTTGAGAAATCAATCCCAGTCTAGGCTGAACTACAGGAGACAAAGGCATGTAACAAACTGCTTCTTTTTAGGACGCTTAACAGCTTTTCCTGAAAAAGTGTCTATATACTGAAGTAATTAATAGTTGTTTTCATATATTTTGTTACTTTTGTACTGGAATTACTGCATACCAACCTTCTGAATCAGAAGTCCTAGAGATAAAAGTCTGCAGGATTGAGCAGAGTAGAACAGTAACGATTCTTTTGTTATTATATATCACTGTTTCCCCTTTCCCTATCAACCAGGGAGATGACAGACTTTTCAAAAGAAAAGCTGCAAACCTACCTTTTCCCAAGTAAAATGCCTATTATTTGTAACTTTTAACATAAGAAATATAATATTTAGTGCTTCCAGGAAATTGAAGTGGCATACATAATATCACTGTTTCAAATTCCTCATTTTGTATACTTCTTCCACTTTCATCACTCATGCCAATCTCCATCTCTTTGTATTCAGCAGAATCCCCACAGACTTAAGTATCAGAAAGCAGAGAAAAAGAAAAAAATAGTAGTAGTACATTTCTTCATGAAAGGACAAAATACTTGCCTTTTAGAGAAACTGTAGTTAAAAAAAGAGTCAAAACTACAAATGTCTCAATGAGTCTTCATGATTACTCAGTCATTTTAGTGTAACTTGGAAACTACTTCAAGGAGAAAGCATACAAAATTAATTAGAATTGTTTTAAAAAGCAGCAGGACGTAAAACTGATGGTATAATAGATGGTCATTATACCTTTCTCAGACAGCATTTTTGGGATAGAAAATGTGTAGAGATTTAGTTAAATAAAGCAGGTGGGTGAAATTTCAGAAGCAGTTGGCATTACTGCAAGACAGCAATTTAGAACAATGGGCTGCCTGTCAGTTCTTGTTATTCAGTGGGGTTCAGAAAGTGCCTAGTGCCACCTATTATGAAGGCACTTTAGGCTGAGCTTTAAGATATCAAAAAACAAAAGTCAGAAAGTTATGTGAGCTGCAAAGCACCATCTGTTCAGATACAGTCTAACTCTAACAAATTCATGGTCAGTCTCAAGCATATTTCTCCCTTATTGTCCCTTTCTCTGCCAAACTCTAACCACGTTCTGAGTTGCAGTACAATTTGTACAACCCAGCCCAAAGATCCTTCACAATCCCATTCACTGTCACCAACTTGTAGTACAATGGCCTCAGTTACAGAAAGCCAGTAGTGTTTTTTTGCATACTGAGGAAAAAAATGAAAATTGACGTTCTCACAATGCATAACTCTGAGCACATAACAACTCTGAGCACATAACAACTGAGCATAGCTCCTTATCTATTAATCACGTCAAAACGTTAGTCTGAAACAAGCAGAGAAGCAGAGCTGCAACACAGCATTAAGATGAATGTACTAGCATGATGGTTTAAGACAGTGGCTATTAAGTCCTTTATTGCTCAGCATCATTAATGCCTTCCAGAATTTTCCAGGAGATCTTTTCAAGTCATGTAAGTGACTAGTCTTTGTCTTTTTGTCAGTTTTCTAACAATGGAGGAAGGATGCAGCTAGAATCTCTCTACTGAGCTGATCACAATCCAGGAACAACTCTCTTGTATACACGTCCCATTCTTAACTATATACCATAGTCCACAAGATACACAAGATTTTGTAGTGCAAACCCTGGAAGGTGCATCAGTGCCCTTTTCTGGAGTTACCCACTAGCAAATCCCATGCTTAAAGTAGGCCACTGAGACATCCAGCACAGGGTTTGTGGTGTCCTATGCCACACTCTCAATTCTAACTAAATACAGAATTTGTGGGTTTGTTCTAAGGAGGAGCTTCTAAAAGCACCCAGGGAGCTGGTTCTTTGCCTGTCCAGAGCAGGCTGCCAGAAGGTGGGACTGACTAATTCAGTAGTGATTCTCAATTAGTCAATGTGATACATAGCTATGAATGCACAAACAAAAGGGCACATGCATGTATGCAAACAGACAGGCACATTTACTTAAACTTTAGAAAGCTCTCAGTGTGAATTACACAAACATGGAAACCTAACTTTGAATGCCTTACCAACAGACTTTTTTTTTTTTTAATTTAATAGAGTCATGGGGTTACACTGAAGCATATCTACAATACACATTAGTTTAATTAAACACTGTAATGAATCTTGCCAGTCTAATATATTTTGGACTAGTATTAAATATAATCCTTAAACGTCAATACTTCCAGCAACTATTCAGAGTTGACAAATTGAAATTAGCCAGGCAGATCAGCCGTTCTACTCAGAAACACAGACCTTTGATACACGTTATCAGCTTTGAAAGCTAGAAAGGTGCAGATATTTGCCATAGCAGCTGCTCACTTCTCTCTTCTCTATACAAGCAAGAAATGACACATCCAAAAAAAACCCACCCAAAACTTCATCAATGCAAATTGCATAAGTACTGATTTAGAAAAAAATGTGTTTCTATACATAATTATTTTTGCCAACCTTGTTACAGTTCATGTAACTAAAATTTAATCACCAAAAGTGCGATTCTCTGTGGTACAAAGGATACTGGAAACGGTTAAAAATAGGTTCATTCTTTTATGTACTTCCATTGCATAAACCAAAACCCCCACAATTTATACATGAAGTTCAAATAAACACTTCATTACACAAATTATATCTGTGCAAGGTGGAATTAACATTTTTTAGTATTTATATGCTCTGTTCTACTTTCAATCACAAATTGGCAACTTAAAACACTCTTCCACTGTCTAGTTAGAGATCTTTCTTTCCATCTGTTTACATTTAACTGTTGCTACTCATGAAGTATAAACACTCCAGAAAGACCTTTTATCTTCATGAGTTATCATATCCCAAATAGGAAAAAAGGTTTCCATATCATTAAAATTGATGAAAAGAACAATTTTAATAATTTGATTCACCACTGGTATAATGGTATTTACTATGGCATTGACTTACATATTTTATGAATCTTATTACAAGTGACAAAGAGCACCTTAGCAATAGCTATTTCTAAATATTAAAGAACAATTCTTACTGCTCACTTTCCTAACATTGCAGCAAAAGGCTTTTTGCAGCACAGTAGTCGTGAATGTAATTTTATTACCTGAAGTCCAACATTGTCTGCCTGTCCTCCTTTAACTAGCTGGGAGATGAAGAGGCCACAGCTAAATTCCACTCCACCTCTCACACTTATTCCCAGTCCTTCAGGATGCAAACGATCCAATCTCACCTCTTTCAGCTTTCTGCAAAAATGGAAGATACTGGACTATTCAGCTGCATAACACTTTGTGGCAATAATGTTTCATATGAAAGCTACACATTATTTTTCTCCTGTAACATTTAAGCATGAAAAAAGCAAGTTGACTGAAGTTTGGATGGATATGTGTTAGCCAAATATTTTTTATAAGAAAAGACATCTGCAACCACTGAAGTTCTCTGCTTCTAGAGGGTTAGAGCTATAAGACTTTTTTATTATTAAATGCAGAAAAAAATTATAAAAGATTGTTTCAACTGGAAAGCATTGGTTTTGACTCCTTTATGCTGCTTTTACTAGATTAAACTACTTGGCAAACAATTTCAGCTAGCTCAAAACTGTACTTCTAACAAATATAACATAAGTAAAAAAATTATGCCCAGCTCTACACAGGTGACTGATATTTTACTTGGGATTTGTCTGAAAACTCAGTCAGTATTTCCTGCTTGTATTTTAAGTTAGCTGCATTGTTCCACATTCTCTTACCGTGATCTTTTCGGTGTAAGCTGATCATATTCCACCTGGTGTTTTAATGGAATAAGTGGGCGGATAGCATCAAATAGAGGCAACCTGCTTGGTTCATTAATCACAAGTTTTAGGTCCCCCACAAGCACTGGGAGATTCATAGATCTACAAAAACACAGTGAGAAAACAGGCACAGGTAATCAACACAAAGCATAATTTAATAACTTGCTGTACATGTAGCTTCAACATTTGCATTCAACCTACTAGAAAAGTTATTTATGCAGATATTGGTTTAACCAAAGCAAATTATCCTCTGAGAAAGCAAACTTTCTGTAAGCAAACAGGAATAACAACTACCTCCTTCAAAATAACTGAAATTTCCTACATAGTGCCTTTATCTTTTAAGGTCACGCACATCACTTTTATAGATGACACCTTTAATTTCAGAGTCCCCAAAACATTTATGGAACCATTTGAAAATAACTTTCCTGATCAGATATACCTGTCTACTAGATTTTTCTTCCCTTACTAGTTAGCAATCCTAAGTGAATCTAGGCTACAAGCCCCTTCCTCTCCTGAACTCAGGGGACTGACAAATTGTTTTGAACCAGGAAATAAATCATGATGCTCAGTAGCTAGAGCAAAGACTTAAGTGTTAATTTTTTTTTTTTTTTTTCAAAAAAATTGAAGGGCCACCAACCAATAAAGAAAATCTACAGAAGTTAAACCACTATGAACATTTGTTTTATGAGAGCTATGCAAAGAAGCGTCCTTGATATTGTCAGCACTGAGATAGTTTTAGGTCTAGAAAATGTACTTTGCTGCCCAGCTGCAAGAGTGGAGGAACAGCTCCCTAAGGTTCAGTGGAACTATTCCTACACAACATCATTAAACTTAGTCTATATTATCTGCTGGTCCCTCTCATAATTTACATTTCCTGGCATACAGTATTTCTGAGGCATACACACTGAAAATCCAAATCAGGAATGCATATTACATGGGATTAGAAGTCAAATACTTTTGGAAATGCTATTCACAGTGAAGCACACATTCAATGTTAACTCCAATAGGAATTGCACATACTTTTGCCCTGAAATACTTCATAATGTATTCCAAAATTTGATGAACATATGTTCACAGAGATACTGGAAATTTTGCTGAAGTCATTGCAATTTTGGAAATTGAAGAAAAGTTACTATATGCATTGTTAGTTTTGTAACTGCAAGAAGATTTTAAATAATTCAGAGCTACTGAATCAACCAGCTTTCCAAACAACAGGCTTTATGAATGGAGAGGCAATTAGACAGACCTGAGTGAAACTGAATCAGATATGCAGCTGAATACATCCATAACTATAGCTCAGTGCAAACATCAGATGGAAACATCTACATTTCACTCAGCTGAGATGCTACTAAGATACGAATGGAAACAATGTCTGTCAGAGCCACTTTTCTATGATGAGTGGAAAATACATTCTCATCTTCTTTGAAAAACAACGGATCAGATGCTGATCTCATTTGCAACGATATAGGTCCTAAGCAACTGCAGTTTAAATCAGTTCAGTAAAGGGATTGGTAATAGGCCTATCACCTTACTATTTTTTTCCCATTATGTTGTAACAAACCAGAGTTGTTAAACATGCCAAACAGATTCCCAGACTAATTTTTTTCAGCTTTCAGATAACAGCTGCAAATAAATTTTAATCTGAATAGTTAGCAAAAATCTTTGAAAAGCAAACTCAATTAAAAGCTCTGTTGCAAATAAATAAGCATTATCTGGAAATATTAATGAATTTGATCAAGGCTCTCTTCCTGTTCCCTAAGAACAGTTTTATCATCCCAGTGTTTCCCTCCCCTCCAATACAAATCCACTAAATTCTTTTACAAAACTGCCAAGTCATAAAACCAAAGTAACTTTATGGGTGACTACGGACATGCTCCTTCCTTGTCTGCAGCTACACTGTAAAAGTATAAGACTTCATTAAACAGAATAAACCCCTATTACTTCAACTATTTTTCTAGTAGCATTTAAAAAGACAACTTGAAATCTTGAATATTCACTCCTCACATTTAAAAATGTTAGTAAAATTCTACACAAACATATATAAAGCTAGATCTTACTGGTGGTACATCCGCAGCACATCATAAAGGTAATCCTTCTCTGCTTCATTGTCAATTAGTAGATTAACCTGAAAACCCAAGGACATGATTGTAAATTTCTGACTAAATAGCCACAAATGGTGAACATACAAGACTTCCACAAATTCTTAAGCCATAGAGCAAAGATTTCAATAGGGATTTTTTTTCTCCCCAAGATAAACACATTTTTGCAATAGAGTATTATCTTACAATGTGAAACTTGTAACAAGACTTTCTAAAATTAGTATTACAACAATTAGACAAGGTGGTAAATACTGATATATTCTGTATGCTAGATTTCCCCTCAGGAGTAATATTATTACAATAATAGATATTTGCCTTACCTGATAATCACTGTACTGTTGAACAAATGTTTTCAGAAACCTTTTTGGCCATTCATTAATATAGCACATGCTGTCACAGATAAAACCACCGCACTGAGATGATTATAGTCTATGTTCTGTCATCCAAACCACTGATTTCAGTTCACTTATAACATTATGCAAACTGCTATGCTACTGTTCCTCTTTGCTCCAGCTCTTAACTGATAGAACTTGCTAGTTATTCTTTCCTCCCCCACTAATAGTACGTTTACTTAAACCAGTGTCATATTACTATGCCTGCTCTTGGATAACTACAATAAAATAAAGCAACAACAACAAAAAAATCCACCCAAGAATTCTCATATGAGGAGTTCAATTTATATTCAGTAACAGTGAGAACCCTGCTGACCTTACCTGCAGTGAGAGGTCACATCACATTAGTTTTACATTTGGTCAAGCTTAATGTTTAGGAAAACAATTTACATCTGACCTAAAGGCTAACATTACTGTGATGTGAAGTCTGAGGACCTATTTCCATGCTTAACGAAAGGCCCCTTCTTTCTAGGTTTGCAATGGTTTGCATTATATTCTAAGCTAAATACGTGTTTCATATTTCCTTTGTCCCTTTGGCTCTCTAAAGCCAGCAAGACTCCACATACAGGTCATTTTCTATTACTTGTCTCCTCTGGAAAAGGACACTTTCAAAACACCTAAAGGCCAAAAAGCTACATGCAGGACAAGATTGCTTGACAGTAACACTACTGAGTAAACCAAGTTAGTCACACTGAATTTCAAAACACAGAAGGAAAAGTCTACCTTAAAAGGAAATAAAATGGTTGCAATCAAAACTGACTGGTTCACCAATACTGTAGACAGAGTCAAGGTGATACATGTAAAACTAAGTCCAACACCTATTTTCTCCCTTCCCCATCAGGAAAAATACAACATACAAATCAGCTTTGGTTCTGGTATACGGAACTCAATCCCCAGTGCTACTTAAGGTACTGTATGAGCAGACCCTCATGAAGAACATTAAATGTTTAAGCACATCAACACTACATAGCAAAGAGCAAAACCATCATCATCTGTTCTCCTAATTAGGAAAGCAACCAGGAACAACATCAGATTTTTCTCCTAATAACCTAGCCAGACATGTTTCCCGTTCCCTGTCAGGAACTGGAGGGCCATATCTAAATTCTCCCACTTCTCACAAAACATTCAGTCTTCCTGTTTGATCCCTGCACTTCTCACCCTACCACCACCAACTTCCTTGTCCTCTGACAAAAACAACAACCCAAGTGACTTCTTACCTATTCAGAATGCTACAGCTGGGTTAATCTTCCTGGGTCTCTCTCTAATGAGTCGTTATTCTCCTGCTGTCTTCTATTTCACCAGTTATCACTTCATTGTAGCCACCTGCATCTCTTACCATTTTCGTAACTCATTAAGTCCTTGGGACAGAGACTTACTTTAGACATACACTTTACGTATGCTTATCAACAGCTTCTAAGAGCTGACTCCAATTTCCTAATTCCTAAAAGATCATGCCCCTATATGTTAAAGAAAAAAATAAATAAAAAAAAATCAGTGGTGACATGGTGTAACCCGCATCAGAGAAGTATTTTAGTATCTCTCTGTTTCTTGAGAAAATAACTGTAGAGGTATGGGATAGATGATTTCACAGCTTTTACACCAAGAATATTAAAAAACCCCACATCTGGACAGGGTCCTGGGCAACATGCGCTAGGTGGCCCTGCTTGAGCAGGGGGTTGGAGCTCTCACCTGGAGATGACCTCCAGAGGTTGCTTCCAAACTCAACCTTTCTGTGATTATTTAAAGGTATGTTCACAGCAGTTGTGTAATTTACAATCCTAGAACACAAATAAAGGGTTGCTTATGGTCTATTTCTCACTACATAAATTGCACTGTTTTTCACAGAAATTAATAAGGAGTCATCACAAAAACTGTACCAACGTACAAAAGAAAAATCAAATCTGGCAACAAGTCTATATACGTTTATTCAGTAGAACTTGTGGGAATAAAAAGCACTTTTTGGTGTGGAAAAAGTTCAAATTACTTTAATGCACTACTGTAGCACTAGCCCAATCTGTCAGCTTTCAAAGAATAATATAAAGTTCTATTTAAACTATGCAGCCTTTGAAAAACTACTGAGAGAAACAGAAGAACCGGACAATATATTTGCATATATTATGTATTTTGCGTTGCTACTTGCTTGAGAGGGATAACTGATTAAAATTACTAAGAAAAAAATAATATGAAAGCAGCAAATAATTGAGAAAACTCAGATCCTGTGGCTGAGCATTTTCACTGTTTTGACACAGAAAAAGTATCCAAGACATTAAAATTGCCACAGAAGCCACTAGAAGCAGGATGATACAAAATAATTTAAAGAAAAGACCTGTTCCAGTATCCTCTTACTCAGATAACGTTTTCACTCAGACATGCATCCTACTTATTTGCATCAACACACACTGACAATAACTCTTACGTTACCAGGGGTAATGTAATGATTTATGAATTATAGCAGCAATGAAAGGGAAAAAAAGTTTAAAGTTCAAGGTGGTAACCATCCACCTAGGAACCAGAGTCTTTATAGATATGTTGCACAACCCACTGTTGAGTTATACAGTAATAGGTAGCAAGGCAGAAATAACTTGCTAGATGTCTACAGTCATCACTATGGAGAGTCCAGGTCCTTAATGTTTTTGAACTTCAGTTTGTCATATAGGTTGGGTTTTTTTTCGCAGCCTTTCTACTACATTATAACAATTCTTTAGTTAATGGCTTTATTACCAGGTGATACTTCTATAAAACACATTACACTACTTCGAAGAAACTCCATTCCCTAGCTGACAACAAAAAACAACCAACCAACCTTTCCCACAGAAAAAAGCACCACAGAACAATACTGAAAACTTTAGTCTGAGAGAGTCTTAAACAGCTATGGAAAAACATCTCTTGGATGTGTAAACAATTTCCTCCCCTCCTTTTCTTAAGCTTTTTGAGCTTACTCTGCTCATACAATTTTGAACTTTGCTGCGCACTTATTTAGCTAGGTAAATGACAAAATGACGTGTCAAGCAGACTGAGTTGCTCCATGTATCAAGTGCATTTGCATATGACTACACATGTACAATTGCACTCGTGAATGTTAAGGTGGAACTGAAGTCTTCTGAGCAGCAGCTGGCAGCGCACAGGACTGCAAAGGGGAACTGCCTGGGCCTGGACTTCAGCACCTGCACTTTTGCCTCCCCTGAACTGGACTGGGTGTAACATTTTTTACATTTTATTAAAATAAAATAAATTGTATCAAGCCCTGAAAAAGCTCATGCATTGGGGAACGTTCTTCCTCTTCTCTTCCTCCCTTTTAAAGCTTTTTAAGTTTTACAACCACCCTCTCACAGGAGGTTGCCGCCCGCTTTTCCGCGCCACTAGCACGGCAGCGCCAACTTCCCCAAGCTTCTCCCTCCCCCGTCGGTCACTCTGGCAGCGTTCAGCCGCGGGCAGCGCCGACAGCACGCCCCAGGCCTTCCCGGCGCCA